CCTCTGAAGGCCCTAGTATTTAGGGTCTAAGGTTTAGGGTTTAGCGTCTAGATATGATGCAATGTGGGCCCTAAACACTGATTTAGGACTTCTGTTGAACCCAAGTTCAAATTCTGTATACACTCTCAAGAAAACAACCGGATTTAGAACCCCAATCCTCAAAATGGGGAGCCTGTGACTCTCACATGACTATAGTCTAAACTCATTAAAGGGGTGTTATATAAAGGGATTGTATAAATTGTAGAGGGGTGTATTATAGGGGATATTAAGGGAGATACTAAGAGTTTAGGCTATGGCTTACATGACTCGTTCAGGTTCTTAGGTGTTTGGGGTTACCAAGCCCTCTTATGACAAGAGGCGCAGGTCTCACTGATTCTCAGTTCAGACTTAGGGCTCTGGGGAGGCAAGGCGAATCCTGGGGTTTAGGGTTCTGAGTTTTACGCCCAACTCCCCCTAACCTATCCCCACATGCAGCGCGAGCCCTCGTGTTTCAAACGCCCCTTGCAGGGCAACCAAATGTGAGGAACCCCAAGTTGTAGGATTTCGGTTTTGAGCCCTGAGAAAGTACAAGCAGCGCAATTAAACTTGTACACCTTGGTCGGACCCCCACCCTCGATTAGCAGTATAATGGGAATACAAGGGGACCCTAGTAACCCTAATGTACTCACCATTATCCCGTAGAGTCCCCTCACCCTAAACCCTGACCCTTTACTATCACTAGTGGAGGGTCCGCCTAAAGTGGACCAGAAGCCAGCCTGTCCTTGGAGGCATATGTGCCTTTAGGGCTTAGGTTCAGGATTCAGGGTTTAGGGTTTAGGGTTTAGGCTGCGCACCGAGGGGTTTGGGGTTTAGGGTCCAGGGTTGAACGGGCTTAGGAACCCAAAGTCAACAACGCTAAGCCCTAAATCATGAAGACCAAGCCCTGCAAAACCTGAGCCCTAGACCCCAAGACCTTAAACCCTTATCCCTTACAGTCCCTAAACCCTAGACCCCTAGACCCCACGTCTGTGGCGCACCTGTGTAGCCACGCTCCAGCGATGCATCCACGCCGGGCAATTGCTTCGCCTTTGCTTTGGTTGTGGGTCAGTAGGGAATGAAGGGTCATTGAGACTGCTTTTTGCGGTGTAGGGTTTAGGGCAAAGCATGAGGGCAGGGACACAGAAGGGGAGACTACCTTCTCATTCAGGGCTTAGGGTTAATTGAAGGCTTAGTTAATAGGTGAAGGCCTTAGTAGGGAACCAAGGGGCTACTCCTACATGGATCCATTCTTCCAATTCCTGCTGACTACCAATAAGGCTTGGCTGCTGCAATCTTGGGAGCCAGATGTCTAGGGCTTGTCCTCCTCCAAACTAACATACGAAGCCTGCAATTTGAAGACTACTGTCCTTGAAAAGGTTTGCCATCTCGATTTCATGTTAGCTCAGGAAGAGTTTGTATCGCAGCTGTGTCTTGAGGTTTGGAATGAACTGTGCTTTGCGAGTCGCATCTTCAAACCCATCCCTCGCAAGCACAACGGGTCCCTAACTAACCTGACGGGTTCACTTCCAACAGTGGGTTTTGGGCTTGCAATGGTTTCACGTCCTGTAGATTCACTGGGTACTCTGGTCAACATATGCAAATGTGCTGGCAGGGCCAGTATTTAGTGCATGCGCACTGACGGCAATGAGTAAAAATCTTTACGATGCAAGGTGGACTGTGAAGGCAAAGTTTGACGAT